TTCACAAATGTACATAAACACGGATTGAGACCATTCAAAGAAGTTATTACCATTGAGTTTATCATTTGTGGTAAAGTGAGTTTTGGGGTTGTTTGGGCAGAATTTCTGAACTCTAATTCTAAGCTAACCTCTAGAGTAGAGCTAGACATCTTCATGCCATATTTTGTCATAAGCACTATGTTTTAGCTTTGGAAAGAATTTTATGGCTGATTGTGTGATACAAGAGAAGAGGAAAGCGTTCTGCTTGCTTAGGAAGGATGAACTTACTCTGGAAGGCTACCTGATAACTGCGGCTGAGAGAAAACTTCCACAGCGTGGCAGTGGAAAGAACGTGTGCGAGGACATAGCTTCTCTTTTGACATAGCTTCTCTTCACAGAGAGCAAACCCAGCCGAAGGGAAGAGATCGCGCTTGCAAAGCGACAAAATGATTTGCGGGTGCCAATAAGAGAAAGAATCACAAGTGCAAAACAAAAGAAAGAATTACATCTGATTGTGACTGCAAAGTGACAGAAAGAATGTGCCTGAAGCGATCCAAACCTGTTGTGGAGCGATCTGGGCCTGCTGGGAAGTGATTCGGTGAAGAGAAGCAATCGAGTCTTCTGTGAAGCTCAGATAATGATTGCTTGACAGGGAAGAAGAGATGTGTCTGCAGGGAGAAGATCTGGCGGAGGGCCTGCAGGAGGAAGGAGAGTTAGGGTTTATTACTTATCTCTGATACCATGAATAAACAGGGATAAAATTGAATTAACTTATTTTTCAATAATCAAATTACAACTCTTCTTCTTATATAATAAGGAATGACTAGTGCACGAATAATTGCAACAATTACAACCTACCAAAGAAAACATAACTCAAGAAGGAAAGAAATATAACATAATGAGGAGGAAATAAAACTAAAATGCAACACTCACAATTCCACAATATTTAGTGTTGCATTGTACATATCATTGATAATTGCAACATACATTTGGTAAACACTTCTTTCTTTCTTTCACATGCAATTAATTCTTGTGGCAATCAAAATTATATCTTTTCAATATCATCTCTATATATTTATCACTTATATAGGAGATGTTCAGGCATTAAACCATATTAGTTATTTAGTACTATTATAATTTTTCCAAGTCTTTGTTCATTTGCACGACTCTTTAAACTTGATTCATTTGTAGTTAGTACAGTTTTAAGATTATCCTTTGCTATATTATGCCATATAAAATTTCAATTCTTTGTAACTCATGTTGATGTAAAGTTCTACCTATTTTTGTTTCTTATATTTATTTGTTTATTTTTCATCATTCTGTTATATTTAATAGTTTCTCAAAGTTATAATTTCATCATTCTGTTATATCTTTTATCTTTAAATAAAATCTATTTATCTTCGCTTGCAATGCATTTAACTTACTCAAAATTTTTAGATCTATCATCTTTTATTTTCATTATCATATACATTTTCATCTCTTTTAGCATCAAGTCTATTATATAAATTATAAAAAAAAATTGGAGCTTTTGCTAGTCTATTAGATTCTTTATGTGTTTTTCTAGCTTTCTAATAATTATTTAATGTTTTAATACTGTTTAGTTTTGTCACTTAGGAAATTACATGCATCAATGGTATTAATTTTAAAAGTACATCTCTTTTCCTTAAATACCTTGAACTTCATCATTCATCTATATTTGTTTATTAGTGTCCAATCTTTTTTTAGATTCGTCTAAGACATGATAGCCTATTGATGAAACTATGCATCTTATTCTTCATATTATTTGGCTCAACTAAAGAATTTAATTTGAATCTTGAAGAAGAACATGGGAGGAAAATATTCTCTTTTTTCTTAGTCAACAAATCACAATACCTCTCCTTATATAATGAATAAAACCAAAGGAAAAATATAATTCCCATAGTTACACCTTATTAAAGATATAACAACTATAAAGAAAAGAAATACAACATAATAAGGAATAAATAAATGAAAATAAATCTAAAATAATAAACACATAATTCCATATTTCCCTTAAGTTGGGTCATAGATGTTTTAAAGACCCAACTTGGTGTTCAAATCAATTATGTTGCCAAGAGGTAGAGATTTTGTTAAGGCACCAGCAATTTGACAGTGAGTCATGATGTAGATTAAGTGAATAATGCCTCCATTGACCTACTAAAAAAATAAAATATCTATCAATCTCAATGTGACAAGATTTTTTGTAATGCTAATGGCAACTTGGCTATTACAAAACATCCTAATGGGATCAACCGTAGAGTATCTAAACTCATTTAGTACCCTTTGAATTCACATTTTTTCACAAATTCACAAAGCAAGTATCTGATGCTCATTTTTTGCATTGCTTTTAGAGACTACTGGTTCTTGCTCTTCAATGTGACAAGATTTTTCCATAGGAAGAATACCCAGAGGTGGATCTTTTGTTCGTGAGTGCTCTTGCTTAGCTAGCATCAGTGTAAACCTCTACATCCTTATTGTCAGATTTCTTGAACAAGAACCCTCTACAAAGTGTATTCTTAAGAAATTTCAATATTTTGCGAACTATCCCCAAATGTTCCTCGTTTGGATTTTTTATGTGTTGACTCACTGTGCCTATAGAAAAGGCAATATTAGGTCCACTATTTGATAAGTAAAGGAGCCTACCCACCAATCTATGGTATTTACCTTTTTTTTTTACTGATGTTTTTCTCCCCAAAACTGTAACTTTTTGTTATAATCTATAGGAGTCTCAACAGGTTTGTACCCTAATATTCATGTTTCTTTCAATAGGTCTAGGATGTACTTTCTTTAAGATATCACATTACCCATTTTGGATTTGGCCACTTTCATGCCCGGAAAGTATCTCATTGCTCATATATTTTTAATTTCAAATTTAGTAGTGAGAATCTCTCTAATGTTCCTAATCTCTTTATCATCATCATCTGTCAGGATCAAATTATTTAAATAGATAATGAGTATCATTTTATTATTTTCCTTTGTATGCTTTATGAATAATATATGATTTGACTGGTATTGAATGTACCCATAAGATCTTATAATCTTCACAAATTTGTCAAACCAAGCTCCTGTCGATTATTTGAGGCCATAAAGTGATTTTCTTGGTTTACAAACTTGATGTTTATTCGAGTCATCTTCCAGTCATGTGGAGATCTCCATGTACACTTTTTCTTCCATGTCTCCATCAAAAACACATTCTTGATTACAAGTTGATACAGTGTTTAATTTGGGCCTTTCAGTTTTTAACT